GATAGATAGATAGATAGAATAGATAGATAGATAGCATGCTAATAGATAGATAGATATGACTAGATATAGATAGATAAAGAAGATAGATAGATTAGATAGATTAGAGTAGATAGATTAGATGATAGATAGAGTAGAGTAGATAGATTAGATAGATAGATAGATGAGAAATAGATAGATAGATAGATAGCATAGATAGATAGATAGATAAGAATAGATAATGAGATAGATAGATAGATAGATAGATAATAAATAGCATAGATAGATAGATAGATAGATAGAAGATATGATGAAGATAGATAGATAGATAGATAGATAGATAGATAGATAGATAGATAGATGTAGTATAGATAGTAGTAGATGATAGATGATAGATAGATAGTAGATGATATAGATAGATAGATAGATAGATAGAATAGATGATAGATAGATAGATAATGGTAATAGATAGATAGAGTAGTAGATAGTATAGATAGTATAGATAGATGAGATAGATAGATAGATAGATAGCTAGATAGATGAATAGAGATAGCATAGATAGTCGTCGAAACAACTGTGGGCGAACAAGTGATTTTCTTTAAAATCTATCTGTAAGCACTTGAACCATAATTGTTGTATAATGTAGAGGAGCAAAAAACATGACCCGGAGAGAGATGAAGCACGTACCACGCAACGCACGCCACAACACACACACAACACACATCACACAACACACACACACACACACATCACACACACGGACACACACACCACAGACAACACACGCACGCCACGCACGCACGCACGCACGCACGACATACAACACACACACGTTGCATGCACTGCCTTGACGGCGCTTCAACGTATTCTAGTACGATGCACTGGAACGGAAATATTCAAAAACTAGGGTCTCGGAACGGCACAAATGTAAGACCTGCCATGGTAACTACCTTAATGCTACTTGGACACGAGATATTCTTAAAATGCGATGCAGCTGGAACGGAAGTTTAGGTTAGGGTTGAAAAATGGGGTCTCTCGCGTGGCACATACCTAGTACATGCAATAGTCACTATGGAGTGTCCCCCCCCGCCCCGCATGTCACGCCCAGTTAAGGCTCGACAATGCAATTGTCACCGAGACATGTTAGACAGGTAGATGAACAGGATGTAATGTTCAGAATTGTAACAGTTGCCAGTCCAGCAGAAAAGATATAATTTTCGAATAATTAAAAATAAAATGAAAGTTATCTGACTGGAATGTCGTGGGTATTAGTCATAAAACTGATCAATTAGAGGTGTTATATCAGTGCCGTGAAAGATTTGGAACTTTGGTATTAATAGCAATGTGCCCATTCAAATTCAAAATGCAAAACATTACAGAGTGTAACATAGTAGAGTATAAGCAGATTGAAATAGGCTTATGTTTCATATTATGTACTGATAGTATATACAATTGCTTAATAATGTGTTTATTAGTTATCATACTCACAAACATATAAATTTTAGCCTACTATTAGTCAAACAGTCAGACTTTAGGCGGTACTTCCTCGTTTGAATTTACAAATTGACTTTGTTAAATTATGATCAGTAATTGGTTGCGTTCAAACATAGCCGTGAAAATGCAGAAATGCATTTTCAGGCTTACATTTTAAAAATTTTTCTGGGGAGTACTCGCAATACCCCCACATTCCGGCTACATATTTCTGGAGTGGCACTTTTTGGGAGGCCACTATGGATGGCCCTGTTACATCTACCGCGTACTCTTGATCTTGCTCCTACGCGCTCCCACGTGTTCGTTTCATATCCTGTGTATAGATGGCGGTGCAGCTGGATCGAGAGCATCCGATATTAGCATCGTACGATAAATATTTTCTAGATTTTGTTTTCGACTCTCAACTTATTTACTTGGTTTACGTTATCAAACACAAATCATGTCTGGTTTTGAAACGTGTGGTCCAAACGAAGCCTTGGTAATATCAGGTTAGTATGCTTATGCTTCTACAAATGTGTTTGTTCACCAGATAACGCACGGCAACGAATGTTTACACAATGATTACAACAAGTTACAAGGTACTGACTACTGTACTGAGTGATAGTGATACTGATACTGATACTGATACTGGATATTGTAGATACAGATATGTCAATAACTCCCAAACACAGGATAGGCGTTTACAACGCGCGCTAATGGTTTTCTGTGGAGGCAAATTTAGGGAACCTCGGGCCATGAGTGAATCACTCAGGGCGGTTTGCTTGTGCTTTTCGAGAAGAATTCCAAACTGGGTGTATTCTCACACGAACCTTTCTCGCTATCTTTGGACTTACTATGGTATCAGCAATTACTCTGTGATTAAAATAATAACGCTGTTACAAAAATTGATAGTGACCGAGCGGCGATATTGCCGAGCGCGTACATGTCTGTTGACCCTGTGACGTACAGCATCGCCATGCGCATTAGCGATCGCAAAAGCAGTCGCCCTCGATGTCGGTGAATTGCGCTCTCAACGACGTAACGTACAGGTCACAGAAATGGTGGCTCATAATATTCGCGCTCCGTCACTTCGATTTTTGGTAACAGGGATGTATTAGTTTTAACAGAGTTTGTGATACAAGTAATTGCCAGATAGGAGAGAGAAGGTTCGTGTTGAGAAAACCCAGTTTGGAAGTTCTAGTCTCTGAAAACGCCACACAGCAACCGCCGCTGAGTGATTCACTAGGAGGTTCCCTGAATTTCCCACAGAAAACCATAGCGACGCGTTGTAACCCTATCCTGGGTTTGAGTTACATTATGTATCTACTGATACTGATACAGTGATACTGATGACTGATATAAACCAACCAGGCTCTCCGACTGTTACACGGCGGAGGAGCCTGACACCTTCCATACGAAATGCCTGGTAGCTTGAAAACAAACTCCGAATTCGTAAAATTTCGTAAATAAAACAATCATTGTATTACCAAATTTGACCTCACCTGTACAACATGTTGCAACTATCGCTACACTTCTTAATTACTATTACCTCGAAATACAAGTTAAAATAGAGAAATTTCGAAACAGCTATACTATTTGAACGTTGCAAAACGCCATTCTGGATGTTCTTATGTCTCTTCTTGTTCGCGGAAAATTCACGAACTTGCTACGTATTATGGGATATCATATGGAAAATGGCGGCGTTTTTTGAGTTTTATCTTATCAATTTTAAACAATTACTCGCTGACACGAAGTACATGCTCAGTGATAGCGACATATAATAAATCGAGGAGTGGAAGTACAGAGAAGCTGTAGAATCATAAAAAGTGAGACAATTTAACGTTAAAATAGCAAAGGGCCACGTACCTGCCGAGACATTATTTAATGCCTTATGATGCCGTCGGAGTTTCGTGTGCGAGTCTCTGTCCTATGTATAGTGTTATGGTTTGGGGCCGAGAGGCCTGCGGCCGACTTGCTGGACCCCCTAAGATACTGAATACAGAAGTGATTATGATCTACTGATGAAAGCATGTATGCACTCACAGCGCACCATAGGATTCTCGTCATCGAACCCCCCAGAGCACAATATTAAAATCGTTAAAGTCTGACAAAATATAACTCGACCACTTGCCCAAATGAATGTAGTTGTAGGTACTCCACAAGTCTTTATATGAGTCTTGCTACTACTTCTTTGGATTTCTGAATCATGATTATTGCCTATGTTATGAGTATTAATTACCGTACATCGCCGCGATCAAAATCGCTCATCTGCACAGCGCACCCGAACAAGTACACCGCGCACGCCCGCCCTGTGGCTGCTGCACAACAACGTGAACTGAGACGCGGCTCAAGAGATAGAGAGCATGGTTAAGTCAGGCATAAACAACCGATGTCGATACGCCCTACACTAGGAATCCGAAATCTACCATGCTCTCTATCCACTAGCAAGTCTATATAAATCTCTGCATGATACTGTAGTATCCTCATGGGCATCTCGTGTTTGTTAGACACTTGTTACTGAACATATCAATTTAGTGCCATTCTGAATTGGGGGAGAATCTGGCAGACATGCGCGGGAGTCGCATATTGCTGTAATCTGTTGTTTTTATAGTTACCAGTTAGCACTATAGCCAGCGAAAATTTGTGCTGGAATTGTTGGGTGCTGTGTTAAGCTAGGTAATTAGGTCGCTACATCGTCAAATGGTGGATACCCCGGGCTTGGTTCGGGGGGAATTGTATTATTATGCCTGCACGAGAAGAACACACCCAATTTGTATCACTGTTTACAGTGTGCTGGATTTTCGCGAATTTATTCCTGGAGATGAGCTGCGTTTCGAAGTCTAAATACACTTGTTCCTAATCTCAATGTTTTGTGCTGATTTCGAATTATAACCAGCGGAGGATACCGCATTGCTGTTTCATTCATCGATGCAGAGGCACCAGGTCACATGGTCGAGAAATTCATTTTATTGCCATGTCCTTTTTCAATGGAAGTCAAGACAATTTTCGAGATTCTGAATGCCTCAAAGAAATATTGTTATAGCAACAACACAAGTGAGCATGTAGTGATCATCATGCCCCCAACAATAGCAATGTGGAAGTGACTGATTACATACGATTTCTAATATGATCTTAGCATGCTTGGAATGGTAGTGGAAATAAATATTTAACGGTGATATTCAAGATACAGTTCATTAGCAATGACTAAAGATAGTGGGTACTAAGTCACTGTCGTAAAGTAGAATGAAATAGTCCTTTGCAGGCAACCTGATGCATGCTTTATACAGTGTGTATATTTACATGTTATGATAATTTTCCTAGTTTCAGCTGGTTTATTAGCATTAGTGTTGGCGCAGTTCAAATAGGAACCTAGTAATGACCTATCGGTGTACATTGAAGAAATGGGTTGTCAGTAGCACATAAGGCACTTATATTTCAGCTATTATGTTCTGCTGATGTTACGTTTGGTGGGATCTAAGTTTTATTATCACTCGCATGCTTATTTAACTGACGATGTTTTGTATTCACGAGGCTGCGCCCACGCTTCCTCAGAGGCTAGTTCAATATCTCGAAGGGTCAATTATCGCATACCCAAATGAGTCGTCGAAATGAAGCTCTGGGACAAGTCGTATTCAGCGAAGTTTAATAGTTCGGAGTGTTTTGTGGCACTGTTTGAACATTCCATTATTGCCATTCTGAAGATGGCGGGCGCACATTTGCTGTTAATCTGTTGTTTTATACTTATAGCATATAACAGCACATATTTGTGGTGATTGTTGTGCTGGAGTAAGCAGTAAAAGTCCGCTAACACGTGAAACCCAATTTTTACACTGTTTACACTTGTGCAATTTTCCGATTTATTCGTGAGATAGTCGGTTTAAGTAAAATACCCTTTTAATCTAATGTTTTTGTCGCGATTTCGAATTATAACCAGCGGAGAACCATAGCTGTTTATCATGCATGCAAGCACATCTCGTCACATGTGCTAAACTTCATTTATTGCATGCTTTTATAATGCAAAGTCAAACAATTTCGGATCCTGAAGTCTAGAATATTATAGCCACACAACAAGTGTAATGTCATCCCATACCATAGCAAGTGAGTATTGATTCACATTTATATCTTGATGCTTGGAATTCTTAGTGGAATAAATTAGGTTTCCCATAGTTTATTAGCAGTGATGTTAGATGACTAATCACTTGTAATTAGTGAAAAGCTTCACCACCTGGCACTGTTTATACAGTTATACATGTATGATAATTTCCAGTTCCAGTTTTATAGTATTTGGCAGTTTAAAATAAGACCTAGTAAATGAATAACTTACACCTGAAATGGGTGCATCACCAAAAGCCAATATTAGTGTCTCTGATTAGTTGTTACTAGATTCATAACACTGATGCTCTATAAGAAATGTTGTTACAGGGGCAAGTACCAGAGCTACTTAATCAAGGTCAATCAATAAATGGGCGATGAAAGCTCTGACATCTATCAGCTAATATCATATCAAGAGTAAATCATCACAAATCTGTGATTATTTACTCCTGGTCATATATACTACTAAGGCCGACCAAAAAATTACCTTTGGTTCGGGTCACCCGCCCGACTTCACATTTCGGAGTGAAAAATGTGCGACTGCTGTCACTTTTAGAGGGTTTCAAGAAAAAATAAAATTTAAAGATACCGCCTGCCGATCATACATATTCAAATATTCGACTCTTGTCATTTTATTTACCTAAAGAGAGTTCCAAAATATTTTTAACAACGTGAAACAGTCGTATAGAACCTGGGCCGGCTACTTCATAAACAGAGCCTGAAGGTCGTATGGCGTGGCGGCCGGCTTTGATGTACGCGATCGATCGCGTACTATATAATATACGCATGCTATCGTGCTATACGCGGCCGCAGAGCCGTTTACACTTCGGTTACTCGCTCGTTCAAAGGGATGATTAATCGAGCTCCGTTTATGGAGTGATTCCTAACACTACTATCCAGGTGTTCAAATTTTGCAACAATCGAAAAATATCGATTGTTTAGTATACTATCGGCGATAAATATCGTGTTTCACTTTACTATCGATGCATTGCCATCGAGACAAAAAATATCTATAGTTATCGATAGTTCGATGCATCGTTACACCCCTAATAAAAATGTATTGAAATGAGATGCCCTACAGAAAGAAAGTTTACTCATTTGAAAATGTCCATGTAGTACTATGTATGGATGTCCATCAAGAGAATACACAATATCCACAGAGTATTTTCAGATTTGTAATTTTGTCTGTGTTCATGTATTTTATTCTTCCTGCTCTTCTGGATCTGCCAGTCCACAATTTTTGGGATCTAGTGTTTTTGGTTTGGCAAGTCTTGACAAACGAGTCTCGTCCTCTCCTTCCCAATCTCTGATTCCAGATGACACCATATCAGGTTGTGGGATCCAAATTGGCATTCCTGAATCTTCTGTCCTGAAGAAAGACTTTGTACAATGGTAGCCCTTATTTTTCCCAGACTTGGGACTGGGCTACCCTTTCCATTCCTTGTGGAGTTTACAATTTTTGTCCTCTGTCTTCTTTTGCTGTCACAAAAACAATGTCATGACTTACAGCAATGGTACATGCAACTGCAAGTCGTTTGCATCTCGTGGCTCCTGCATTTCAAGCTGTATACCCTATATTGAACTTGTGAAAAAAAAAATTATTCCTGCCTACCCATGTTTTTGCAGAAAAAAAAAGAAAAAAAAATGTTATACCTACCTACCTACCCTAATTTTCACAATCCATGTGACCCGAACCAAAGGTATTTTTTTGTTTGGCCTAACCATGAATGCAGTGCCTGTTTACTAACAAGAAAGTGCTGGTCTTGGTAAGTAGGCACAGTCTGCTTCCGCCTTTCCCTACCAAATGTTTCATGTTATTTAGGTAAAACTTACAGTTATGTTATGTTCCATTGTGCTTATTTGTCTCTGCTAAAGTCGTAACCTTGGTATGGGAGGCTGAAACGGTGTCATTGTCTCCCTAACTGCAGCATGTAGCTTGGGCAGCAGGTGATCAGCTCATTAGTAATGTAGTAAACTCTCTCTCCTATCATCGTCTACTGTAATCCAGACATTTTCGGGCATCCTGTTTAATTTGCTAGACTGCCATAACAGGTTTACAGGCAAGCCTGCTCTTGCCTTTAGACGTTATATAGCTGAAAATAGCACTGTTTTGTTTTTATAAATGGGATAGGCACGGCCAATTTCAATCGGCAAATTGAAATACTACGAACACATTTCACGTCTGTCTGAGCACTGTGAGCTCATAGTCCACTTTCAAGCTTCATTTCTCACTGCTGGGCATGAACATGAAACTGCTCGGTGGAAAATGAAAACCTTCAACATGATTTCCATCTGGTTATTGTAATTCTGTTATTAATTTGGTGTTATTAGGTTTGGTTGTTGCAAGAAAAATTTGACATCGGCACCACATTCATGGCCAGAAATGCCATAAAATATATTCACTTGAATTGCAAAGAGACAAGCCATGATGTTTTAATATTTGAGTTTTTATGTAAGATATAGATTGATTAGATTTGAGTTGTTCCTCATCTAAGACTGCCTGTAGCATATTTTCGTTGCATGTTAGTGCCAACTAGTACCCATAAGGAAGCAGTCTGTCTTGAGAATCATCAGGTGGTGCTACCTATGCACATTCATCAAAAGTAATTGGACAAACCAATACTGGATGATAGTAATCTATATCAAGGCCGTAGCCTGTGGGGGGCAAGGGGGCAGCTGCCCCCCTAGTTTTTGGAGAAAAAAAGAAAAAATAAGCTTAGCTAATAATCGTAAATAACCCTAGAACGTGATTTTTTCGTGAAAGCCTCGTCTCAGACCCACCCCTACCAGACTATGGATGTCGAAGAAGAGCTGCGCCTGTCGCTCATCATTACACATTTGAGTCATAAAATTTTGCCCCCCCCCCTAGGAATTTGCTCAGCCTACGGCCCTGTATACATGCATTACTGTATGATGATGCATTATATTGTGCTCCTATTAATGATAGATCTAAGTATATATTGCACTGTATATATATGGTCCAATAGGTGGGGGCGGAGTGACGTCACTTCCCCTTAGCAATACGTCCGGTGAGCCGCGCCGATGAAAACAAAGCGCGAATCGGCTGGGAGCGTCTATATTCAAGCCGGTATGGGAGATGACTGTACGCATATATTTGCTAATATATTGACCAATCGTGCGTCAATAAACTCAATATTCACAGAGAGTATAGCTAAGACATGTGTCTATAGGTATCTAGAATGTATTATGCAAAAGATCTCCCGTACCGGCTTGAATTCATACTACTACTAGCTGTGAATATTGAGTTTATTGACGCACGAAGCGGCACGATTAGTCATGCTAGTCCTGCACAATTAGTTGTGCGCGCGGAAGCAAATTTCAGATGATTAAATTTTTAATATTCTAGATACCTATAGACACATGTCTTAGCTATACTCTCTGTGAATATTGAGTTTATTGACGCACGATTAGTCAATATATTAGCAAATATATGCGTACCGTAATCTCCCGTACCGGCTTGAATTAATATAGACACCGCCCGAATGGGAGCCGCTGCTGTTCAAGAATAGAGATGATGTCCAGATTGAGACCTATGTCATTTCCGTAAATGTGGGGGTAGCCCCTTTAAACTCGGCAGGGGTGTTCTTAAAGGTCTTCTTTGTTCATTTCGACCGAGAAACGTTATGTGACTTCACAGGAAGTGTGCCAAAAACTGCTTTTCAGCGAGACTACTCGCCCGTTTCCCACTGTTTCCCACCATTGCTACGCCCTCTTCGTTCTCCTGACTAATTGCTGTTAGCCATCTGTCTCTCCTCTCGGGCTACGGCAGCTCAAAGAATGATCGTTTTTTGTCACTTGAAAGACTGTGATTGCGGTATCCAAACACCACATAATTCCTTGGCACTATGCGCTGCGTGCATTGAGCAGTGCGTTACTACGGTTTGTTTTCATCGGCTCGAATCTACATCCGGTCAAATAGTCAAAAGTTCTCGGATGTCCGCCCCCACCTATATTTGATATATTTTTGTTATTGCAGGTTTATGTTATAGCAAGCCAAACATCATTGTTGGTGGAAGACAGTTCGTTTGGCCATGTTTCCAGCAGTGCGACAGGTTCGTTGGCAGTTGCAATAGTTTAGCTAGCCAATATATTATTGCAAATACAGATACTTTGCAAACTTACATTATAATCAATGATAAAATCTGGCTTCCGTTGTAATTTTTTCAAGGAATGTGAATTCTTTGCATCAATTTTCTTATGTCACATATATGTAATAACATCTAATTAATGTCTTAATTATATCATACTCCTTAATAATGATAAAATTGTTTAATTATTATGCAAGCTAAATGGAGAGCAGTAATGTTCGTAATAATATATTAAGGCCAGAGAATGTATGTAATCAAGACACTAATGTCAAATTGCTTTCAGTTATGTCATCACCCATAGCTTAATATAAATCCATTTGCTAGCCAACTGTCTCTAATTTTTTTTTGCCATAATTAAAGTATCTATAGAAACTGTTTAAGTCAGAAGAAATAGTTTAATTAGATCATACATTATTTGAAAAGAGTCCTCCCATGTAATTGTCCCATGTTTTGAATTGATCTTTGCTGCCTGTAATAAATGGCATACTTTATGAAACTTGAAAATTTAGAATGTTTGATTACTTGCGTTTGTAGTGTAGACCCATGTTCACAAAATATTACAATCTCAATGCAGCGTGTAAACTGTACGAGAGTCTTGAAATTTATCTAGATTATAAGAGGGTTTGATTCCATAAGGCCTGTTTAATATCAAGGCTTGTTTGGTCACAGGTTATCACTGAACACTATAACGCTGACCATTGCAAGTCCTACCGTCTACACAAGATTGGGTGTTGCTATCTCGGTCACTGGGGTGGCACAAGTGAGTAAAAACTACATTGAAATATAATATATAATGACATGCAGGGCATGAAATTAGCCAAAATGTGAACATGCCCTTAGACAAATTGAACAGACCCTTACAAGTTTGAACAGGCCCTTAATTTTGTTCTATTTATTCCATTATTAATAAAAGTATTAGTTTTGTGTGTATTAGGCATTCTCGTAGTATTTCAGTGTTTCATTGCTATCACTATATCAGTGGAGTCCTACTTGTTTAACAGGAATTGCTGGAACATAATTTACTTCTTAGTAGTCGCTAAGTAAAAACTAGTCAGGAAATTGGTAAATATTGTTGATATAAAGGCAAGATAGGCTAAATTTTGAATAGGCAAAGTGGACTGATTATATGGGACGTTGAACCAGCGATTTAGGGGGTTGAACCCTACTTTTACTTTTACTTTTACTATTGACGGTGACGTAATCACTTTAAAGGGTTGTAGTAGTTTCCCTATTATTAATGATTTCGGTTGGGCTGAATTTACTGCTTGTAGGTAAATAGTAGTAAATAATTTAAACTAGAATTTTATGTAGCGAATTTAAAACAGCTGTCATGGTTGCCATCATCGCTCTGTATTTAGAATTATAGAATGCTTATAGAACAACAATGACTGAGATTATTTCTGTTGCTATCTAGGTGAAAATTCAAGGTCAGAACAGAGAAATGCTGGAGGCTGCATGCCAGCAGTTCCTGGGAAAGTCTGACAGGGAGGTTCAAAATGTAAGAAAGCACAGACATATACGGCACCATGATCAAAAATTCCACCTCGTCCTTCCATTGTGTGGAGCTGTTTTAAATAATACTGGCACTTCCTCGTTATGTTTATGTGCTAGCTAATATAATATTCTGCACTCATTGCACGTGTAATAACTGTGTGGTTTGTATTTCACATGTTAAATTTCGAGAAGCAAAATACTAACGGTCATTGTTGTTGCCTCATGCAGAGCTCAATAGAGTAGCCAGATAATGTGGCAACTGTACTTGCATTTCTAGAGAAAAGGGTGGGTCAGACAGACAATGATAAAATGAAAGATAAGGGAAAAAGATGCAGCTGCTATGTCACATGTAGGTGCAACACTGGAAGAACAGTGGGCTTTACAGGAGTAATGTTATAGGGTGCAGTTTCTGGATGGCAACCGTAGGTGGCAATGCAAACACTGGAAGAACAGTTGTCGATACAGGCGTAACATTATAAGACGTGGTTTCTGTATGTTGCCCGTAGGTGGCGATGCAAACACTGGAGGGCCATCAGCGCGCCATCATGGCTCACATGACTGTCGAGGAGATTTATCGTGACAGAAAGAAGTTCTCGCAGCAAGTGTTTGAGGTAGCCTCCTCCGACCTCATCAACATGGGCATATCCGTCGTTAGCTACACACTCAAGGATATTCACGATGACGAGGCACGTAATTACTGCAATTAGCGACGGTAACAACAGCGTGATGAGGGGTCATTTATGTGTACAAGGCAAATTAGGATGGTTCGCATTAAAGCGATATCTCTTCATGTATTTCTGTTGTTACAAAACCTGAAGCTGTTGTCAGCATATAACCGTGAAGATGCCGTGGCCAGCTAGTCTGGCACCGTAGTCATGCGCTGTGTCTATCTATGCGATTTGTGAGAAAGATGTATGATGACAATGGAAATACTCTTTAATCTTTCATTTAATTCTATTCCAGGTAAATTCTATTATTATTCCAGAGTTGTGGGAATATTCCTCAAAAGAATTCTGTGTTGTCTCGAAGTTTCTGTGGTCGAAAGTATTATCGTATAAGTTTCAGATCCAAAGGAGGGTGTACGAGCCATGCTCAAACTGGATAGCGAAGTTCTGAATGGCATTAGTGGCATTGCTTAACAGGTGTGTTAATGTGTACAGGGATACCTGAAAGCTCTAGGCATGGCCAGGACTGCAGAGGTGCACCGTGATGCAAGAATCGGAGAAGCAAATGCAAAAAAGGAATCCGGGATCAGGGTTCGTTTTTGAGTATGACATAGATGGATGGTTGATGGGTTTGTATACAACCCGTAGGTCGCAGGTATTGGAATCTCCCACCCAGACACTGTGTGTTCGTGCCTCGTACTATTCAGATGTGTTTGATTATTTTATTTGGCAATGAACATATTAGCGAGTATATTGTAAATGGTAATTGGTGGGTGAACAGTGTTTAATGGCTGCAGTTGTGTAGAGCCTCACTAATGGAACGCAAGTGATGGTAGTCTGTGGAGCTTTTCACTCGGAGCTTCTGTCGCGCGGTCACAACTTGCCGAGCTTTTCTCCAGTTTAATAAATCTCAAGTTGACCAGGTCACACTGCAAACGTCTATAGAAGCGTCTGTATTGGAACAATCACTTTCTCTTACAAAGCCGAATTGACATGCATGCACGCACACACATATGCACACATAAGCACGCACGCACCACACACACAAACGCACACACACACGCATGCGCGCACATGCACACGCACACACACACACACACACGCACGCACGCACGCACGCACACATGCGCACACATGTACGTACATATTCGTATTCGTACACATACGTACATGTTTCTTGTCTGCTGTAGGAGTCATTAGCTCAGGAGCAGCAGATGCAAGCAAGGTACATCAATGACACGGAGATTGCAAACGCGCAGCGTGACTTTGAGCTGAAGAAGGCGACCTACGACATGGAAGTCAACACAAAGAAGGCCCAGTCGGAACTCGCTTACGATCTACAGGTGGGTCGAACTAGCATTCTGACCGATTACATATCATTGTTATGAATCATGCCCGTCGTCATACTGTATGACACGCATTCCGAAAACGCAATATTCACAAAGTATTGCATCATTGCATTCTTAAGTTTGTTCTGCACTGTTTTCTGATTACGTCCTGTGTCATAGTAAAATGTTTGTTAGTGCATGACGACGGCGTTGGTTATAATCTGACTGACAATGACAAAGCTAGATCCCACTTTGAGTTGAGCATGTCCATCACCAGGTGCCAGCACTGTGCATCATGCATATCAGCCATTGCTTATATAGATAGTTAAAACTCGAGACATTTGAATCTGTATACTAGCTTTTGCAATGCAAATTTCATCATGCCAGCCTTATCGGAGGTAAAGCGTCAGGAGTTCTGTCATAGTAACTGAGTTACATACTGCAATGGTAGCATTATGTGTGGTCAATGGCTGTTCACAGTCAGTAAAGACATGGCCAGAATGCAATTCTTCAGACTCTATACTTTGTATGCTGCTGTTAATTATCACAGTTTCGTTATCAAAACAAATCCCCCACGGCCCATGCGTTGCTAAACCTAGATTTCACACTAGGGAACGTGGTGGTTGGAGGAGGTATTGTGTATTTTCTAGACGAACACTATTTGCGATAGTATCTGTAATTTTATTTTATTTTGTTATGCTGTATTATATGAACTTTTTTTTTTGAATGTGTTATATATTATTAGGAGTGAATGAAAAGAAACTAATATTATATATATATATATATATATATATCAGAAAGATATATATATATAAAAACCAGGGAAAATACGTGTCAAAATCCTGTGTGATTATTTACTCCTGATATATATATATATATGTATATATATGTATATATATATATTATATATCCGTTTGCTTTCATTCATATGTGTGCGCCTGCACGTTTATATAATATGTTATAATAGTACATTAGATGATAAAATTGAATTAAAATACAAACACCGTGTTCATGTGTTCGTGTGTCGGCGGCGGCGGCGGCGGCGGCGGCGTTGCAGGCGGCGAAGACGAAGCAGCGCATCAAGGAGGAGCAGATGCAGATTCTCGTCGTCGAGCGCACGCAGCAGATCGCGCTGCAGGAGCAGGAGATCCTGAGGAAGGAGCGCGAGCTCGAGGCACGCATACAGCGCCCCGCCGACGCAGAGAAGTACCGCCTCGAGCGGCTCGCCGAGGCCAACAGGTAGCGCCACCTCCCGCACGCGCGGCGGCGCGGTTGTTGTCGCTGCGTTTGACGGTGCGCGTCGTGAGTGTGGGCGAGTTGTGGACCCGTGTTAACCTTCGTTGCGCGATGGGCCATGTGAACCTGTAGCGGAAATGTGGAGGAATAGTATGTGGGTACATAGCAGAAAAGTTTAATATAATTCACTTTTGTCTCATCTCTGTACCATGAGAGGGTTGCATTCGGTGTGTCCTCGTGTCTGTGAGTCCATGTATGTGCTTGCGTGTGTGTGTCCGCGTGTGCATGTATGTGCGTGTGTGGGTTGGTGCGTGTGTGGGTGGGCGCATGCGTGTGTGTGTCCGCGTGTGCATGTATGTGCGTGTGTGGGTTGGTGCGTGTGTGGGTGGGCGCATGCGTGTGTGTGTCCGCGTGTGCATGTATGTGCGTGTGTGGGTTGGTGCGTGTGTGGGTGGGCGCATGCGTGTGTGTGTCCGCGTGTGCATGTATGTGCGTGTGTGGGTTGGTGCGTGTGT